GATTTCATTGCTCCGAGACGCTCTCCTGCATGAAGGACATTTGATAAGTGCAAGTTCTTATTAATGCGTAGGAGACCAGCTAGTCAGTGCTGGGAGGGATACCACACTTTCTGTATACTGTGCTCCATGATGCGCCTGGATTTTAAACGTGAATCCTGTAGCATATTGGTTAGAGCACTCGCCTCGAGTCGACCTGGGATCGATTCCCAGGCAGGGCGATGTGTCTTAGGCAAGTTTCCTTACTCCACGCGATTCAGTTTACCCAGCGGTAAACCCTCCCCAGATGCGCAGTTCAGTTGTAACAGTGATGTGATGTGCTGACAACCGTCTTTTGTGATGTTGTTGTCACCATCAGACACTTGTCATTTCCCTTTCTACCATCTCCAGCATGAATTTCTTGCTGTATGTTTGAGTTCATACTTGAGCTGTAGAGGGCTCTGGTCAGGCCGCATCTGGAGTAAGTACTGTGTTCAATTCTGGTCAGTGCAACATGGGATGGTGGACTGGGCTGCCCAGGCCTGAGAAACTGTGAAGAGGAGAGCACCAAGGCTGATCCTTGTGAACAACAACATCAACTTGCAATTATATCGTCCCCTTCATGGAGAGTTGTGTCCCAGAGCGCTTCACAGCTGCGGAGTCTGATAATGAGCCAGGGGGAGAGGGAGGGCAGAGGTGACCGTAAGCACGATCAAAAAGGAACATCTTTAGGTGGGATTTGAAGATGGGGAGCCAGGGCGAGGCGGAGGGATTGAGGGAGAGAGTTCCAGCGAACAAGGCTGATGAAGTGAACATAACCCATTGCAAAGCAGTACACCAACTCTACCCGCCCAAGTTACAAGCACTATGGGACACTATCCTGCGTGAGCGACGCTACATGCAAGTTGTAACATAAACAAAACCGCATCAAGAACTTGTATTTATATAGCACTCTTTATGCAGGATAGCGCCTTGGAGTGTTACACAATGGTCATCGAGCCGGGGAATAGCGGGTTGTGGGGGGCAAGGACAAACTTAAGTAAACAAATGAGTCACCGTGAAATAAGATCAGGAGTTTATGCTCGTGTGAGACAGGGTGGAGGCAGGGAGGAGAACATCGAAATGACGCATTCACAACAGAGATTCAGCCCATTTGAACTCATCTGTTCCAGCCATCATTTCAGTGTTTCTCATCCCATCCCATATGATATATTAATACCTGCTCACAGTGACCAAGCCCGATTTAAGATACTTGGGAGGTGGGGCTGTTCTCAATCATGGTTTGCTACTGCTGCTGCTGTTGTTGTTGTAATTTTGTTGTTGTTGTTGCTGTGCCTGCTAAACTGATGATTGGTTTCAGAGAGCAGGAGAAGCTGAAGTTGTCCCTCGATAGAATTCACTGGTGGTCTCACTGTAATTGAGGGAAATGGGGAATAAACCAAGATTCCTGCCATTCTGGGACTCGGAGTTGTCATTAGTTCCTGTGGAATTCTCTTCAGATAATAAGCGCAGGTTCCTTTAGCTGTCAGTGAAGAGGGTGGGGTCCTGTAGCTCAGTGGTTAGAGCACTTGCTTTGCAAGCGAAAGTTCAATTCCAGACAGGGCGAAACCTTGGGCAAGTTTCCTTACTCCACACGCCTAATAATAATCCCTCCAAAACCCAAAACAATAATAAATTGGTCATTTTCAATCTACGACTGTTTGTGAGACATTGCTGTGCGCAATTGGCTGCCGTGTTCGCCCACAAATATACAGTCAATTCACTTTACAGTGTGTTCTGTGAAGCGCTTTGGGACATCCTCCCGACGTGAAAAGCGCTATATCAAATGCAAGGATTATTATTATTATAGCTCATCTAATTTATGCGATTTGAGCGAAGGAGGCGGGTGAGGTATAAGCAAGTTGGAGAAGTGATTTGTAGGTGAGCGTGAAGATCTTGAAATTGATCTGTTCCGAGATAGGGACGCAAAGGAACCTGACAAGTGTGATGGGGCTGCAGAAGTTGGTATTGATGAGGATAAGTGGGATTTTGTGAATGGTGGAGCTGAGGAGATTGGTGAATAAGGGATGGGAGAGTTTGAGGGATTCAAGGCATTCCATTATGAAAGCATGGCTGACTGTTTAAGCAATGTTGGATGTGGGGTATGGTCAGGCTATGGTGGTGTGGCAGAGCTAGAGGAAATGTTCCTGGTCAGGGAGTGGGTGCAAGATCAAACTGGATGCTTAGATTGCGCGCAGGCTCGGTGAGTCTGGGGATTGACTGAGGATGTAAAGAAGATTGGAGCTGCAGGTGAGAAGATGTTGATGGGATCCAAAGAGGATGGCTTCTGACTTGTCCATGTTCAGCTGTAGAAAGTTGGGGTTCACCCAGGACTTGATAATAATAATAATCCTTGTATTTGGTATAGCGCCTTATCACGTCTTCGAGACATCTCAGAGCGGTTCACAAAACATACTGTAAAGTGAATTGACTTGTATTATTTGCAGGCAAAACATGGCAGCAATTGCGCACAGCAGCGTCCCACAAACAGTCATGGATTGATTGACCAATTTATTATTTTTTTTGAAGGAATTATTACCCCCGGAAAAGCGATCCGCCAATCGACTTCTTACTTACTGCTGGGTAAACAGAGGCGTGTGGAGTAAAGGAATTGAACCCAGGTCTCTCGCTTGTGACCCAAGTGCTCTAACCACTGAGCTTCAGGTCTCCACGTCCCGTAGCTCAGTGGCTGATGTCTAACAAGCAGAATGAGAGAACATTAGTGGACCAGAGGGTTGTGGCTAAAAATAGATATAGGTGTCATTGGCACACAGCTGAAAGTTGATGCCATGTCTGCAGATAATATCACCAGGAGAGAGCATGTAAATGACAAAAAGGAGTTCACAAGTAATTGCTGTCAAGTACAGTAAGTGTGTATGTATCGGCAAACTGATTTGCACACAAATTGACATGAGCAGTTTATCTGTTGCTATTGAAGAAAATATTGCTCGTGATGCTGGGAGAAACTCTCTTCTCTTTTTGACTGGCACCTTGAGATCTTGAACATCCACCGGATCAAGCAGACAGGACGTTGATGGAATGTCTCTTCCGAAGAATTGCACCTAGAAGTGTTAAGGTTGACAAGGTTGTGAGGTTATTTTGTGTTAATGATTAATGATTTTGTGTTAATCCACTGGAGGCCCATTACCTCTCAGATATCTTCATTGACACTCTGCAATGATACAATAGTAAGGTAGCTTGTTGGTGCAGTTCAGTGAAAGTTGTTCACATTGATGAAGGATTGTCTTCAAAGAGGTTGTGATCAGTGAAATCTTTCACAGCCTATTGGGAAGAGGAGTTAAACAAACAAGTGGTCTTTGTATTCTTTAGTTGCCCCTTAAATTCATGCACAAGATTGAATTTCTTGGTAAGTAATCTGTTACCTGTGAATTTGTATGCATTGTCTGTGCTTTGTTTCACTAATTCAGAATATTAATAATAGTAATCCTTGTGTTTGACATTATCACTTGGAAGAATTTTACAGCAATCATAACCACTAAGCCCATATCTTCAATTTTTGTTTAAATTAATATGAAATACAGTATTTGATTACTGGAGAGCATCTGTTTATGCGTCGTCTAGGATTAAAATTAACCACACTATTCTAGTCGCAGATTTTTCATAACTTCTGTTGCAGAATAACCAATACATATTTACCTCACTTGTGTCTGTAGGGAGGGGAGGCATTGACCCTTTGTGTTCAAGTTGATTAATAATCCTTGCATGGATTATAGCACCTTTCACATTGGATATACTGTAAAGTGGATTGACTGTGTTTTGTGGGTGAATGAGGCAGCCTATTTGTGCACAGCTTGTTTGAGTTTGGAGGAAGGCATGATAGAGCAACCGGCCTCGTTCATCAGAAGGGTATGGGGGAGGCAGGATAGACCAGCAAGCTATACAGTTTTAGCTGGTTAAACTCCAGCAGTTACCTTAACACGCACTCTGGGATCCCCATGTCTTGATTCTTGCCAACCTGTGCCTAACTCTCTCCGGAATTAGGTAATAGGATGCGTCATCAGGGACAGAGTGTGCATTTGATTCCGGACATGGGGGAATTATGTGTAAGTGGCATATGTGTGTTGAACTCCATGAGGTTTGGATACTCTTAAGTATGGTAATGGGTTTGTACATGTGTCAGATACCTGGCTGACCAAAAAAAAGAGGCACTGGTGTCAGCTTAGACAATGTGATTACAAGTCCTGATGTGTGGCTTGAACCACAACCTTGTGACTCTGAGACAACTGCGCTATCACTGAGCCAGGCTAATTATGTATTTGATTAGTTTGCACATTATTGGGTGATGCTTCAGTTGTATTGTGCTGGGGATACAAATTAGATTGTATTTAACAGTAACATTAGGTGCTACAATTACATTGCTTGCCCATTGAGAGACAGCGAGTGTATTGCATGAAACATTCATAGCTGGTGCTCAACTTGAAGTGAAGTTCCTTTTACTTTAAATAGTGGTCTTCACACAGATCAGCGTCTCAGAGTGCTTAACAGGCGAGCCAGGGGAGAGGAGAGGTGACTGAAAGCAAGGTTGAAGGGGAAAGTCTTCAGTCATGATCTAAAAGAGGGAAGGAGGGGGCAAAACAGAGGGATTGAGGGAGAGATTTGCAAAGCTTCGAGGCGTAATGGCTGAAGGGGCGATGATGGAGTGGAGGCGATGGAGTGTGTCGAGCAATTGGCCAGAGCCAGCTGAGCGGAGGCAGCGGGTAGTGTAGTGGGTAGAAAGCAGGTCAGAAAGGTAGGGAGGTGCCATGGTAAAAGGAATTTGTAGGCGAGTGAGAGGTAGTTTAAATGCTACCTTCACACATTGCACTTGTGGAAAATTATCAGCATAAAGCATCGTTGGTGCCAAATGTGTGACTTGCTTGCATTTTAATTTTCTACAATAACTTACTGGTTCGATTGCTTACTGGTTCGATTGTGCTTTTGCTAAGCACAGGACTAACTCGTATTTCTTTTTTGTCTTCTTGTAGATATAATGGAAATTCCGGAAAGCATCTCATTCTGCAAATTGTTGCAAGTAGCAGATTTTAGTGGCAATCCCATAACCAGGTAAAAACAGTCAGACGCTACCCAGCTGTTCAAAATGTGCTTCTTTATACCTGCTGTCAGCATATACCTATGTGGTCCCTCTTGGTGACATTGTCCATGGTGTGGGGTCCACTTCCACAAATGCACGCCATTGATGGGGCAGAATGGGAGGGGGGCAGAAAGCAAGATACTTAGCTGAGTGGCATTTGAGAAACATTAGTACAGGGAGAGGTGATTGAATGCTGTGTGGAATACAGGTAGTGGTTGGATGAGGGAGCCTGGTGCAGGAGAGGGCCCGGGCTGCAGAGTTCTGGACGATCTGCAGCTTGTTTTGAGGAGAGCTGGGGAATCCAATGAACTGGGCATTCAAATGGATATCTTGGATGTTTCACATGCTCGAAGCGGGGGGACAAGCTGCGGGTTGTAAACTTATATAAGGTTTCCACACTGACTCATGATCTTCCTGCTGCAGGTTGCCCGAAAGCTTTCCCGAGCTGCAAAACTTGACGTGTCTCTCCCTCAATGACATCTCGCTGCAAATGCTTCCTGAAAACATTGGCAAGTAAGTTCACCGCACTCGCTCGGACCTCCTTCAAGGTCTGAGGCCTGAAACGCACGACTGGTCTAGATTTGTGAATCAAACTTTTGTTCAATACTGGGTATAATTGTGGAACCTTCTTCAATTCAGTCTTAATTGGACAACCGCTTGCTTTTTTATTCCCTTACATTCAAATACCTATATCTGCCATATACCATCCCGATCTCTGTGATCTCCTGCAACCCTATTCCCCCAGTCACTTCCTCTGTTTAGCCACCTTCATGACTTCCTCATGCTCCCCCCTCCCCCCACTCCCACCCAGCTTGCTTTGCCCCAACATTGATGGACGAACCGTCAGCCACTTTGTTCCTGCCCTCTGGAACTCTTTTCCGAACCCCTCCGCCTCATCCCTCCCTGTTTGCTTTCAAAACTTGTCGAAAGACTTTGATTGCACTTTCACCCATCTTTCCTCCCTCCGTTCCTGCCTGAACTCCCAGTCCGTCTTTATAAAGCACTTTGAGATGTTCTGTGTGAAAGACGCTGATTAAGGGCAAGTTGCTGCTTCTCAAAAGCTTCACACCTTTATTGAAGAGTATTCCACAATTGTGCACAGTCTTACATTGCGAGTTATTACCCCATGTGAAGGATGCTATATAAATGCAAGTTATTATTGTTTTATATATTTACCTAAGAACATAAGGAATGTAAGACGAAAAAAGACCAAGATCCATCTAGTTCACCTTCCACTTCCTGGTGGTCACATGCACATATGTCCCAAATGACTTATGTACTATATCCCATAATGTTATTTCCTAAAAGAAAACTATCTAATCTGTGTTTGAAAGAATCAACGCTTCCTGCTTCAACCGTCTTCCTAGTTCCATTAAATATTTATCTTTAGTAAAGGGAGTTAACAAAGATGAGATGGATATCTTGTCTCTGGTTGACTTGGTGCCAGTATAGTTTTATTGAAAGTTTAGTGCCTATTGCCGTGATGTATCTGTTTGATTTCTACCCAGGAGTTATTTCACTACAATCAGTTGCATGTTATAATACAGCGCATGAAAGTAAATTTCAAGAACCGAATTAATAAGCGTGACCAATGAGAGTTAACTGATCTCTGCAATGCTCCATGGTGCAGATGTCTATGGCAGCCTTTCTGCCCCCACCCTTTGGGTCTCCATCCCACAGCCCCTTCGTTTCGCTCTCTCCCTTGCCTCCTTCAAGGTCCGTCTCAAGACCCTCGTCTTCAACCACACCTTCGGTCACCCTCCTACCTCTACACTCCCTGCCCTCCACCCCTCCTGATCCCAACCACCAGCTCGGGTTCAAATTGCTGCCTGTCCAGTGCTTTGGGATTCCTTCCGATGTGAAAGGAGCTATAAAAATTTTGTTGTTGAACACTGTCGTGCAAGGATTTTAATGTCTGAAAATGGATAATTGTATTCTCTCTGTTTTCTTTTTAAAACTTAGAGGCTGTGATTGTTCTCTTGCTGTCTTTTCGTGGAGTCCTGTAGCTCAGTGGTTAGAGCGCTCGCTTTGCAAGTGAGAGACCTGAGTTCAATTCCAGGCAGAGGGCGAAACCTTGGGCAAGTTTCCTTACTCCACACAGAGCCTAATAATAATCCCTCCAAAAAACAAAAACAATAATTAAATTGGTCATTTTCAATCTACGACTGTTTGTGGGACATTACTGTGCGCAATTGGCTGCCGCGTTCGCCCACAAATATACAGTCAATTCACTTTACAGTGTGTTCTATGAAGCGCTTTGGGACATCCTCCTGACGTGAAAAGCGCTATATCAAATGCAAGGATTATTATTATTTCTAATTTATACCCTTTCAGTCTTGTTGACCTCTCTCTCGCTTTTTGTTTTAAGTCATGTTATCTCAGCTAGTAAACGATTGCTTGGCAAATTACAAATGAAGGGAAAGTATTGAAGTTTCATGTGAAAGGCAATTGATTGAATCGTCCTGTGTTAGTCCAATGGATTGTTTTCTGTCACTGCAAAAAATATCATTGACAAAGAGCATTTAAATAAACCTGCAATGTATGACTTTATTTAAAAAGAAGGCGAAGCTTCGAAGCTGCAAAAACAATCGTGGATTTTTTTGAAAAAACTGGGATTTAGGTAGTTTCTAAAATCTTTTTAAAAATGTTTTCGTTTCATGCCTCTTAACTTATTTAGCTGCAGGGGAGGCAGAGGGAGGTATTGATGTTTTATGTAAGGATGCTGGGATTTATTTGGCTAAGCAGTTTGGGATCCTATCTGCATAAAAGAAATTGGAAAATGGGAAAATCAAAATTTAATGTGTGCAATTAACTGCTTTTGAAAATAGCAAAGGTAAGCACCTGTTCTTACTCATGCCCTCAATTACTTTGCAACTGCTGGTAATTATGGGCTTGAGTGATGGAAGTTAATGTTGATGTCAAGTTAGTGCATCAGATGGACCTGGATATGTGTGTATTGTGGACCCCACTCTTTCTCCCACTGCACAAAAAAAACCCTCCCTCCATTCTCAATGGGAATGTCCATGGAATAATAATAATAACAATGATAATAATCCTTGCCTTTGATGTAGTGTCTTATCACATCGTTGAAACATCTCAAAGCGCTTCACAGGATATACTATAAAGGGAATTGATTGTGCATTTTGTAGGCGAAATGTGGCAGCCAATTGCGCACAGCAGTGTCCCACAAACACTTGTGGATTGAGTGTCCACATTCTTCTTCTTATGCTTTTGGGGAGGAAGGGATTATTATCTGCGGAAAGCGGTCCGACAATCGACCAACAACAATGTTCCTGCTTACTGCTAGGAACATTACTGTGTGCAAATTCGCCTAGAGTTGGCTTACAAATACACAGTTACTACACTTTACAGTGAATTCTGTGAAGCGATTTTGAGATGTTCTCCTGACATGAAACGGGTTGTACCAAACGCAAGAAATAGTTGTTGAGCTCTGCTCTCTAAACAAGCAAAAAAAATTGACAACCCATGTAGCGATTCATAACAAAATAGTTTCCAGAATTCGCATAACATGTGCCATGTCCTTGCCCATATCAAGGGAATAACATTTTAATAATGGGTACGGGGAGAGTTGTGCTTTCTAAATGACGTACAGCTGGAATATGTTTCTCATCCATAGAACCTACGTGCTGAAGTTTCTAAGATTAAGATTTCTCAAAATCAAACATGCTAATAATAATTAATAATAATAATAATGCATTTGATATAGCGCCTTATGTCATTGAGACATTGGAAAGCGCTTCACAGAATACATTGTAAAGTTGATTGACTATGTATTTTATGGGTGAAACACGGTAGCTAATTGCGTAATGGTGCGGGGGGAGCGAAGTTTAGTTCAGCAGCTAGAAAGCTGTGTGGGAGAAATTCCACTCGTGTCTAGGCATTTACTGTTAGCATTTCAGAACACGCAGAAATTCAGTGAACTTCTCAAAATTAAGATTGCGTTTTAAAAATTTGCTGAATACTACAGTCCCCAAAACTGCTGACATTTTGTCTAGGTCTGGACCCTGATGTAAATTCCCCGCTTTGTGTCCATAGTAATAACATTAATAAGCCTAATAATAATCCCTCCAAAACAAAACAATGATAAATTGGTCATTTTCAATCCACGACTGTTTGTGGGACACTGCTGTGCGCAATTGGCTGCTGCGTTTCGCCCACAAATATACAGTCAATTCACTTTACAGTATATTCTGTGAAGCGCTTTGAGACGTCGAGAAGACATGAAAAGCGCTATATCAAATGCAAGGATTATTATTATTATTATTAGTTGTTAATAGTTTGTGGAACAATTGCCTAGAAGGTGCTTGCAGTGTTTGGAAAGTGTAGGGGAGAATTGTCTTGTCTTTTCAAGTGTGTAGTGTACATATTGTTTTCATTATTCAGAAATATCTGGTACAATAACACACCATAGAAGCAATGTGTGAAGGAGACTTGCATGAATGTAACTGGTGTAAAATATGGATAATTTATACAGATCTCTCACGGGTTGGGGCAAATTTATCCTGATCTATTGCGATTCTATTTAAAGCAACCATGTGAAGCAAATGCATTTAATGAAAAGTGCTCCCCTGTAGGTATTCCTTCTATATAAAAAAAAACGTGGCTTATAAGAAAGGTTCTCAAAACCATAAAAGTTAATGTGAGCCAATGTTGACACCCAGAGCAGCACAAACAAGTGCAGGGTTTTTGTCATTTACTGGATTTTGATCTGGAGGTAGTCCTGGTGTGTGACTGATAAACTAAGGCTTTCCTATTGGCCCTACCTTAAGATTGGCACTGAGGTTGATCCAACACGTCATCGGAACAGTACCAGGTCTGAGCACACATCCGTGAAGGAACTTGGAGGGAGGGAAAATTATTATCTAAAGCCAAAGATATAAGAATTTTCCTTTTTGTTTTAAATAACTGTGTGCTGGTCTTTTCTAAAATTTCTTTCATCACCCCAGTACAAATCACTTCATGCCCTGGCACCTCTTTATCGCTCCGACCTACCTACACCCCACTCCTCCACCCGCCCCCTTCACTCAGCTGGCTCCAGCTTCCTGCTTGTCCATCGTTCCCTCTGCTCCACTACGCCCCGTGACTCTGGAACTCTCTGACTCAATCTTTCCGCCTTGCCCCCTCCTTGTCCTTCAGATCACGCCTGAAGACCTTCCTCTTTGACCATGTCTAGGGTCACCTCCTCTCTCTCTCCCAGTCTCGCATCAAGCTCCAGCACTGTTAAACGCTCCAAGATGCTACCAGTTGCTGTTGCTGTTTTTATTCATCTTAAGAGTATCGCCCCAGAATGTTGCCTCTGCAATGCTTGTCTTGTTTCTTGTGCTCTGTGGTTCTGGTCGTTTGGCAACAGATTTCCTTTTAAACAGCGAGCAGGGATGCAGTGTTCTGTTAGTGTTCCCAGTTAAATGGAAATTCCCTGTCTAAGAGGACAGCACACAGCGTGTGTTCTTCTGGGTCAGTTGTGTTGCACAGAAGCAGAAATACTTCACGGC